TTTACTTATATTTTTCCATTTTATAATCCACTGACCTACTGCCAAGTCTGCCATTTGAGTGAATTTAGCTGTACCAAGGTGGTCTAAACCAGCGGTCCCCAACCTTTTTTGCGCCAAGGACCGGTTATATGTCAGATAATATTTTCACGGACCGCCCTTTAAAGTGTGGGGGTAAATACGATCAAATAAAATGATACGACTGGCATAAAATCAAATACAACCAGCATAAAAATAAAACTCACCATTATGTTGAATTAGTGGGAGCCCTGAGCTTGTTTCTCCGAAACAAGCCGGTCCCATCTAGGCGTAATCGGAGACAATGACACACGAAGTGAACTCCTGATGTCCAGTCTGCTCTGTAGCTTTGTTTTGGTCGCTGTAACCACAGAAAATCCTGCTTCACAAAGATAGGATGTTATAGAGAGGATGAGTCTTGAACTGAATTAACCTGTGTCAAGAGGCACAGATGCACCGACTGATGTAATTGGGAGATAATACCCCAATGTTTTGTATTTTTCAAAATAAAACACCACTCGTCGATAAATTCTATATATATATATATATATTTTTTTTTTTCTGAGCCAAATGACAATTTCGGTACCAAATGACCGACGGACTGGTACCGGTCCACGGCCCGGTGGTTGGGGACTGCTGGTCTAAACCACAGAGCAGTTTAATAGGACAGGTTACACTCAGAACATTCTCACCATGGTCCCCCGAAGAAGAAGAGTTTAGGTGTTTAGCAACATATAATGTTTGAAGTAAAAACCTGGCTTGCATTACAAATGAGAGTTACTGTCCCGGTTTAAAAGAAAGCTGCTTCTTGAACCTATAGTTCAGACGACTGGATAATCATGCTGATTTTTGTCCAATTTGATCATTACGTGATGAACTGGCCAAAGTCTGGCGTAATGTTCCCTAAATAAATGTCATTGAAACAAAACTTTGGACAAATATATGTGATTTTAGTCAGTTGTGACATTTTTTTTTTAACTTTTATTTAAATAAAGTAAAGTAAATAAATACTAAGTCCAATTTAATGTATAATGGAAACCTAAAGTGTCTGGTTGAAATAAGTTACTCCAATATCGTCAAGAGAAGCCTGTTCAAAAGGTGACACAACTGGACACATGCGATAACCATCCCTATTAATGATTTTGAGCTAAGAACAAACCTGAGTGGATAAATAAGGCTGGAGGAACCATTTTTACAATGAGACACAATTTTTCACAAAACGAGTAGTTTTTTTTTTGCTAAAACACAAATCCCCATTTTTGAAAGCACATACTCCTACATACTTCAGCGCTAGTATCTAGGCGTTTTTATCATACATCTCTTTGCAGGTGATGAAGCAGACTGAAAATGTTTTATCGTTATCTCACTTTTATCTCCTCTTTCTTTCATCTTTTCTCCTTTTTTTCTGTTTTTCTTACATGGCAGTGTCCATATAATATAAAACTCCCTCCATAATTATAATAAAGCAATTTATATGCATGAAACAAGCGGAACACTATGACGATAGCCCTACTGCTCCACTTGTGAGAGTAAAATCTGTTGGGCTCTGTTTGGCATCAAGACAATTGTTGTTACCGCCACATTGTCAGACAGGACACTGTAAAAACAACAAAAAAAGAAAGCACATACTCCTTTTCCTAAACTATTTGTTAAATCAAACGCTCTTTTGGCCAAACCTCAAACAATTATCAGGTACTTAAACACAATCTGCAGATTTGTCTGGAAAATTCTAAATAGTTACAGCGAAATATGAACCTAACTCAAAGACAGCCGTCATCTTTACATAAAGAAAATAAAAACTTAACATACATGTATCGAATGATGTAATCAGACCAATTGGGTAGTCAGGTCCAAAGCACAGATTACAGAAATACAAACAGCTACAATGGACAGAACAATACAGACAAGAGGTCGTGGATGAGGAGACAAGTAAGAGGCAATAGTCACTGAGGGCTGTTTGGCACTGGAAAAAGGCAGGATGTCTTCCACATCACTGGAACAGACTCCAGGGTCAGACTAAGGGTAAAGAGGTTCTGTAGAATCCCACAGAGCTGCTCTGCACAGACCTTAAGGACACTGAGGCTGACACCATCAGGACCTGCTGATTGATTTCCATGAAGTCTCTACAGTTGCCTCTTTATTTGACTTCTAGTGACAGTCAGGTAGAAGGAGGAAGGATAATTAAAATCTTAGAAATAGAATTTTTTCCAACTTTGAAATAAGCTGTGTATTTTGGTGTAATAATTATAATAAAAACCTTTGAATATTACACGAGTCCAAGAAGCCAAAGAGTAATACGAAACGGGAATAAAGCTGATCATTTTTATTGTTCCAAACAGAAGAGGATCTCCCATTAACTTCATCCATCTTTTGTCAACCCAATGACATTTTACCAGAATTTGAACTCCACTTCAGGCAGACAAACCCACATAAGATACTACAATTGTTCAGCACAAACTTATAGTGAATTTGTTTCACCACAGAATGATGACATGGAATTTAAACCCAAGATCAGGCTCCAAACAGGATCAGGTCTCAGATATGGATCCACAGCGACATGGGAAGTGACAAAACACAGAAAATACAAACACAGAATGAATTAAAATAGTTAGTCTGCCCTCATAAACAACAAAATACAAGGCTGAGTGATTTATCAACAAGAAAAAAAATCAGACTTTAAAGGAGAGCAGAAAGCAGTCACAGAACTGTGAAACAAAACATAAATTACTAAATGCTTATTAAAAAAAATACGTTAATTGAATCAATCTAAAAAAAAATTAAAAACACTGCATACCTGAGTCCCAAAAGCCACCAAATCAAGATCAAGTTGGAACACCTATGTAAGAACACTACATCAGTACATGCAACATTAACAAATAATCAATTTAAACAGTTTTCCTCCAAACCTACAAAAGTCACCAAACAAAGGAAAGCATGGACCCAGCACACACCTGGTCACTCACCCAGGAAATAGACATCTAGCCTTCACCTTGCCAGCTCCCTGTTTATGGAATCTCTGGCTGCCACCTCATGGTACTAACTGTAACAAATATCAAACATAAAGGTAGGGCATTAGACCTGTTTACAACCTGGCTCAAAATACAGGGAAGGTAAAAAATTAAAGGAAAACACAAAAAAACAAGATTTCAAATACAAAAATAAAAATGAATTAATTCAAATCAAGGGGGAAAAGTAAATATCTGACAGTATTAATAATAATCGTAATTAATATTGTTATTATTATATGGGCAACAGTGCCGTCTGATGCAGCAGTTTGTGGTTGTGGGTTTAATCACTGACACCGGATTTCAATGTTGTTATTGTAGCGTCCAAGTTGAAAAGATGGTCTCTCAAACTGATGGTTCACAATTCTTTTTTATTGAATAGCCTTGCTTGTGAACACACCACAAGAGCTACATAATACACAAATAAAATCTACATCAGTAACTTAGACAGTATGTTGACTTTAACCTTTGTTACGTCCTCGATTTACCTTGAATCATATTTAACCTTAAACCTTTTTAATCTGGATGATCCTTATCTTTAGTGCTATCACCATATTTTGCCATGTATATTTATTTAACCCTTTAGTATAGTATCTCATAGTGCCTTGTACCATAAAATAAAAGAAAATGCATAATAATGTAACCATCTTTGACTTCCCATAGTAGATAACATTGCTGTTCACAAACATGTTTATTGCTGAATAAGGATGGAAAACTTAACAGAGACCATTAGCACCATCTAGTGGACAAAAAACGTTACTACAACAATTATAACTTAGCAGCAACCTGTAAGCTCTGTGAATATGACTAAATATGCATTAAAAATACAAACACTGATACGAATCTTGTTCCCTCATCAACCAGGTGCTAAAGACCCTTTGCAAATTAAAATTACTCTGTGACATTATGCTTTGTTCCTTTTTTAACTTTAGAACACAGCTTCTCTCTGCAGGCAGGTGTTCGCCCTACTGCTGTACACATTGCAACAATCTATCACGCCACTTTCCTGCTCTGGGCCTTTCACAATAAAGCACTGGCTGTATTTCTGCTTGAGCAAATAAACTCTTTGGATTAATTTAAGATGCAAAAATATTTATCAGGACATTTACAGTTATGTTCTCGGGCATGACTCTTCAGCTGCATTCCCTCCTGATGGAGGCCAGAGAGCAGCTCTGTATGGTAGCCTCACTCTGGATTACCACCATCAGTGTGTGTGAATGACTGAATGCATGGTAAAGCACTTTGCTCAAGTCTCCTGACTTGAAAAAGCACAATATAAGAACAGGCTATTTGCCATATAATCACTCCAATAGTCATAATTATTGGTATCATTATCAGTCAAGCAAACTTACTCATATTCATTCTTTTCACACTCTAATTTTTTTTTTTTAGCTTTTTCTAATTTTTCCTGCCCCTTCCTTTTTTTATTTAATGTATTGTTACATTTAAAGATGCCATTCAGAACCATGGACAGCGGCACAACAGGGATATTATGAGCAGGCTACTTATGAATTTAAACACACTAAATTTTCTTTGGAAAATATTTATTTGACAGACTACAGAAGAACAGTGTTCAGGAACAAGTAACAATCTTTTCTACTTAAATATATAACTTTTCTATTGGGTTATACCAGTTTATCTCCAGAACTAAACAGTAGGGAATAAGAGTTTCATTTGTGACACGAAGCTCAGACCAAGTGAAGCCAAAAGATTTGGTGAGGCACACACCACAGCATTAGGAAGGTACTAGGGTTGCGTTTTTTGATCTGAGTAGAGAAAGTACCGGGCTGTAGCATTTCTATGTTCTGATTGATCAGTTACAGTTATATTGAAGTTTTTTCCCTCAGTTTTTATTCTCTGCACTGATGGCAGCTGTCCAATAGAGGGCACTATCCAATAACCTTGATTATTGCAAAAATTAAATTAAATTGTTAAATTTAAATATGTCAAAATATTTTTATATATGTTTTTTAGATGTGCAAGATAAATATTTGATGTTTAATGACGAGTAAAGCATTTTGATTTTTCCTCAGCTTCGTTACGTATTTACGAACTGGGGTGCAGAAGCTTTGCCCATTGACTCTCATAAAAGTCGTACAGGCGCAGTAGCTCCTCTACTATGTAGAGGTATAGGAGAGTTTGGGGTGCAGTGTCACTACCCGATCCGTCCCGGAAGCACAATCTGTCCTGGGCATGCTGGAGCAGAGCAGCTCTGATGTTCCTCAGAGAGAACAGGACTCTGGAGTTGTTCTCAGAAGCTCTCCTCTTGTTCATCTCCTCAGAGGTTGGTCTGGTTCTAAGTCTTAGTGGAGCAGAGCTGCAGATGATGAACTGGTTCCAAACATCTACAGATGTTTCCAGAAGGTCAGCTCAGCCTGGAGCTGCAGGAAAACCCAGCTGGAGCTGAGATGCTCCAGGATGAAAGACATGATGCAGTCAGACATCAGTGAGGACAAAAACAGGATTTTATTTTCAACCACAGTCACTATCTGAAGCTATATTTACAGCAGATTTGATCTGAGTCAATTAAAAAAGGAAATTGATCTTCAAGGTGTCATGGAGCAGCTGTGTCTCTGCTCCTGGTTGCTCTGCAGGTGATTTGTCCCTGATGGACGTCTCCTGTCCTCACTGCTGAGTAAACTACAGATGTTGACGTTTCTGCAAAAGAAAAGAGTCGATTAGAGCAGCTGCTGCAGCTGGAAGACTGTTCTTAGTCTGCAGGAGCTCAGAGCAATGAAAGCTCAAACATGATCTCTGCTGCAGAGGGAAGAAAACAGACCGACCCGCAGTCAGAACCTAAATAACCGCCATCAGAGCTCATGGAGGGGAACTCTGACACCTCAGAGTCGGTTTGACCTGAATCTAAGTTGCTCTGTCTAAACATCAGGCTGGTTCTGACCAACCAGCTACAGGAAGCTGTGGTGGTTTACCTCTGATGATGCTTCCTAACACAGAGCATGCTCAGTCTGCAGGATATTGATTATTAGCTGAGATCACATCAACTCTTCTCTAAACTCTCCTGACTAGAGTTTTGATTCAAAGGCCTAAATTATGAGGATTTAGTTTCAATCTGATCCTGAACTTTGAAACCATTCCAGAATGAGCCAGAGCTCCTAAAGAGTTACCTCTGCTGTGTTCGAGCTCCTGGGGATTAAATCCAGCTTCTGAAATGAACAAAGACAGAAAAAACATTTAGTCTTTGGGAGGTTCAGTCCTTTCAGCAGGTTGGATATTGTTGCTTCATGTTGGAATTAATCTGTAGAAGATTAGCAGACAATAAACTCAGAACAGAAACTGTTGGAGCTGAGTGGAAAGAACCGATTAAAGAAAGTTTCTCTGAATTTCATCACAGAAAGTGAAGCTTCAATGACTCCAATAATTTGTCTCACTGACCTTCAGGCTTCCTCTGGATACATCGGCTCACCAGGAAAACCAGGAAGAAGAACAGAACCAAAACACAACCACAGGAGAGAAACAGGATGAGGATGGGAGGACGAGTGAGGGATGGAGGAGGCGAGGATGTAGGCGGAGGAGGAGCAGTGGTTGGTTTCCCTAAAATGATCCAAAGGTAATTATTTAGTTCTTGTCTCATAATGAAGGTTAAAGCAGAGAGAGAAGCTGCTGACCTTCAACAGAGATCCAGCTGGACGGAGACTCTCCATGACCACTGATGTTACACCTGTAGAGGCCTTCATCAGAGCTGGTCACATGGTGGAGGGTCATGTGACCTTTGGGCTCAGTCCTGATGAGGGAGCCATCTTTATAGAAAGCAGCTGGGAGGTTGGAGGGAATGGTCTTTGTTAGACAGCTCAGAGTGACGTCATCTCCCTCCATCACAGGGAGGACAGGACTCTGCAGGATCACTGATCCACCTCAACACAGAGACAAACTACAGCATTTCATCCATTTCCACACAGCTTCATCAACACTAACTCCACAGTCTGATCTTACCAGAGACAGTGAGCTGGATGCTGCTGCTGGCTGCTCCCTCTCTGGACGAACACCAGTAAACTCCACTGTCTGATATGAACAACCAGCTGATGTTACAGGTAGATCCAGCTGGTTTCCCCCATCCATCTCCACACTGAGTCCTGGTTCCTCTGGTTGTGTTCCTCCATACAGTCCATCCAGCAGAGCTGTTGTTCTCCTCACAGCTCAGAGACACAGAGTCTCTAGCAAAGAACTGAGATCTGCTGGGACTCACAGTCAGAGCAGCTGCTGAAATGACAAACTTTAGTATTTTTTCATTTATAAAAATTTCAGCTTCTATAACATTGACATCTTATCCAAAGTTTTGCAGAGATGTTTGTGCTAACTGTGAATAGTTTGGTGTAAATAAGGAAGTGAACCAACCTTGGTTTGTTGTGCAGCTCAGCACCGAGGTCAGAACTAAAAAGGAAAAAAATCACTTTGAACTAACAACTTCATCATTTCTCACATAAAACCAGTTTTATACCTCAGATAGTTTCCATTCAGACCGTTACTGTAAATGTTGTTCCAGCAGGTAGTAAATAGCTCTCTGTCCCAAAGTTTTATTAATATTTTCTATGTTTCATAATTTCTCCTCAGATTCCAGTAGAACTTCTCCTCAGTGTGTTTTAACCCAGTTCCAGGCTGTTTCCCAGCCTCTCCTCCATCATCAGTTATCTACAGAAACCCAGGAAATGTTCAGAAAGAATCTCTACTTACTGAGCAGAAATCTGACAGATGTTTCCTTCATTGTGTCTCTCAGAGCTCTGATAGAGATGTTCAGAGGCTGAGAGTAAAACCTTCCTCTTCCTCTGTGGTTGAGGGGCTGCAGGAACATGAAGCAGCCAATGATGTAACGACACGTATCTCCACCAACTGGGCCCTGGCTGTGGGTTAGCAGCATCACATCCCTTCCTGTTTGGCTCTAGGTTATTTATTTTAAAGTTGTTTCAAACAACTGTTTGCAGAGACAGAATCAGACTGCAGAGCTTCTATATATCTTGAAGTTTAGTTTCTGGCATCATTATATTAGTAAATAGGTTCATAAATCTTTTTAAACAGAGAGAAGAAGGGAGAGCTGCAGATTTAAAGGTGAAACAGATTTACTGGGATATGCAATAAAATATATCTGCAGGTTTACCAGAAATTTTACAAGAAAAAAATGCTAAGCTATATTTAAAATGCAGCGTATCCAATTTTTTTCTGGATGGAATTGAAATTGTACTTATAAGGAATTCATGATATATATTAATTTTGGTATTGTTCCCACCCTGCAGAAACAACCCCCGCCCCCACCCCAGAAAAAAAAGAAAAGAAAAAAACAAAAAAAAATTCCTCCTTTTCAGAAACCCAAATTTGGTCACCTTAAATATAGTGAACTATTTCTAGATAATTGTTAATTTGCATTTTCAGGAAATAAATAGTTTTTATAAAGCTGACTAATAGCTTCTCCTTCATTAAACTGATAAATGATGTTTTTTTTAGGATTGTGATTCCATATTGGACCATGCAAAACAGATTCAGTTGGGCAAGATTTATGTACAAAAATAAATCTGTACATGAAATTACGTTTTGCTTTTAATAAAGTGTTTTTATAATGTTTTTGTTGTTGACATTAATATAAATATACTGGTGTGAGTAGTTAGTATACCTTTGAAGGTTTTAGGTATACATCAGTGTTGATGTGAGGGCTGCAGCAGCAAACTGGCTCTATAACACTGTGTTGATATTTAGTGGAGCTGCTAAATGATCTTTATCTGTTCTTAGCAGGGAGGAGCATCAGTTCATCTGGAGCAGAGCAGCTCTGATGTTCCTCAGAGAGAACAGGACTCTGGAGTTGTTCTCAGAAGCTCTCCTCTTGTTCATCTCCTCAGAGGTTGGTCTGGTTCTAAGTCTTAGTGGAGCAGAGCTGCAGATGATGAACTGGTTCCAAACATCTACAGATGTTTCCAGAAGGTCAGCTCAGCCTGGAGCTGCAGGAAAACCCAGCTGGAGCTGAGATGCTCCAGGATGAAAGACATGATGCAGTCAGACATCAGTGAGGACAAAAACAGGATTTTATTTCCAACCACAGTCAATATCTGAAGTTATATTTACAGCAGATTTGATCTGCATCAATAAAAACTAAAATTGATCTTCAAGGTGTCATGGAGCAGCTGTGTCTCTGCTCCTGGTTGCTCTGCAGGTGATTTGTACCTGATGGACGTCTCCTGTCCTCACTGCTGAGTAAACTACAGATGTTGATGTTTCTGCAAAAGAAAAGAGTCGATTAGAGCAGCTGATGCAGCTGGAAGACTGTTCTTAGTCTGCTGGAGCTCAGAGCAATGAAAGCTCTGATGTCATTATTTAAAGGAACAGAACAGTCAGAGTTACCTAATGCTGATTGGATGTCAGCAGCTGCTCTTTTTTAGCTGCTCTTAACAAACTATATCCTATAACTATATATCATATATATATATATATATATATATATATATATATATATATATATATATATATATATATATATATATATATATGTATATATATATATATATATATATATATATATATATATATATATAGTACAACGACCAAGACTGCCAAGGCTAAGTGACAGAGTACCCTCTGAAAGTCTTCTAGAAGATGTAAATGCAGCACTACATACTATCCCTACTAAAGACATAACTGAGACCAACAAGCTGACCTACGCCACAGCTACAGTGATCCTAGAGATGCTTGGCTATAAGATAAACACCACAGACCACAAAGCAGAGCCCCCATGGAGGAGAAGGCTGGAAGCCAAGATCAAGGCAACACGAAGCGAGGTTAGTCAGCTGTCAGACCTGCAGAAAGGTGTAGGGAAGAGGTTACCTAAGTACAACAAGCTGTCGATTCCTGAGGTTCTAGAAACTGCCAAACAAAGACTCGCCGCCCTGGCCACCCGCCTAAAGAGATACAAGGGAGAAGCTGAAGCCAGGAGAATAAACCAGGTGCTCTCCACCAACCCATCCAAAGTGTACTCACAGTGGCAGGGTAATTCAAGATCAGATCCACCCAGGGCTGAGACTGAACAGTACTGGAGAAACATATGGGAGAAGGAGGCATCCCACAACACCAATGCTCAGTGGCTAGAAGATCTTAGAACAGATCACAGCAATCTCCCAGAACAAGAACCAGTAACCGTTACAACGGCAGTTGTCCAAGAAAGAGCGGCAGGTATGAAGAGCTGGACAGCACCAGGCCCTGACATGATCCACACCTACTGACTGAAAAACTAACCGTACTTCATGCACGCCTCGCAGCACAAATTAACCAACTGCTGATGGATGGGACCCACCCAGAATGGTTAAACCAAGGACGAACAATCCTGATCATGAAGGATCCCCAGAAGGGAACAACCCCATCCAACTACCGGCCAATAACTTGCCTATGTACAACATGGAAGCTCCTGTCAAGCATCATAGCGGCTAAGATGAATAGGCACATGGCTCAATACATGCACCCTGTCCAGAAGGGAATAGGCAGTAACACCAGAGGAGCCAAGCACCAGCTACTAGTGGATAGAGCAGTCACTCGAGACTGTAAGACCAGGCGGACAAATCTGTGCACTGCCTGGATTGACTATAAGAAAGCCTATGACTCAATGCCACATACATGGATACTGGAATGCCTGGAAATGTACAAGATCAACAGGACTCTAATAGCCTTCATCAAGAACTCAATGAAGCTGTGGAAAACAAGTCTGGAAGCCAATGCAAAGCCAATAGCACAAGTCACCATCAAGTGCGGCATATACCAGGGTGATGCACTATCCCCGCTGCTGTTCTGCATAGGCCTGAACCCCCTCAGCCAGATCATCACAAAGACTGGCTACGGATACCAATTCTGAAGCGGAACAATCATCTGTCACCTCCTCTACTTGGATGACATCAAGCTGTATGCCAGGAGTGAGCGAGACATCGACTCACTGATCCACACTACCAGGATCTACAGCAATGACATTGGGATGTCATTCGGACTGGACAAGTGTGGTCGCATGGTCTCAAAGAGAGGGAAGATGATCAGAACTGAGGGGGTTGAACTACCAGAAGGCCACATTACAGATGTTCAGGACAGCTACAAATATATTGGGGTGCCACAGGCTAACAGAAACCACGAGGAGATGGCAAGAAAGACTGCCACAGCTAAATACCTACAAAGAGTAAGGCAGGTCCTGAAAAGTCAGCTGAATGGGAAAAACAAGATCCAAGCCATCAACACATATGCCCTACCAGTCATCAGATACCCCGCTGGTATAATAAACTGGCCAAAGGAGGAGATAGAGGCTACTGACATCAAGACGAGAAAGCTCCTCACAATGCATGGAGGGTTCCACCCATAATCCAGCACCCTGAGACTGTACACCAAGCGTAGCGAGGGAGGCCGAGGGCTAGTGAGTGTCAAGACCACTGTCCAGGATGAAACAACTAAGATCCAGGAGTACATTAGGAAGATGGCCCCCAAAGACAAATGGCTTGGTGAGTACCTCAGGCAGGAGAAAACTGAAAGTGAGGACAAGAAAGAGGAAGGAGAACCATCATGGAGGGACAAGCCGCTGCACGGCGTGTACCACAGACAAATAGAAGAAGTGGCTGATATCAAAAAATCCTACCAGTGGCTGGAAAAGGCTGGACTGAAGGACAACACAGAGGCACTAATCATGGCAGCACAAGAACAGGCACTCAGTACAAGTTCAATAGAGGCCAGGGTCTACCACACCAGGCAGGACCCCCGGTGCAGACTGTGCAAAGATGCCTCTGAAACAATACAGCACATAACAGCAGGGTGTAAAATGCAGGCAGGAAGTGCATACATGGAACGCCACAACCAGGTAGCTGACATAGTGTACAGGAACATCTGCCATGAGTATGGGCTGGAAGTCCCAAGGTCAAAATGGAAGACACCTCCTAAGGTAGTTGAGAATGACCGAGCTAAGATCCTATGGGACTTCAAGATCCAGACTGACAAACAGGTGATGGCTAACCAACCAGACATTGTGTTGATCGACAAACAGCAGAAGAAGGCAGTAGTGATAGATGTGGCAATCCCAAGCTACAGCAACATCAAGAAGAAAGAACACGAGAAGCTTGAGAAATACCAAGGACTGAAGGAGGAGCTAGAAAAGATGTGGAAAGTAAGAGCAGCAGTGGTGCCAGTGGTAATTGGAGCACTGGGGGCTGTGACCCCCAAACTGGGAGAGTGGCTACAGCAGATTCCAGGTAAAACATCAGAGGTCTCTGTCCAGAAGAGCGCAGTCCTAGGAACAGCTAAGATACTGCGCAGAACCCTCAAACTCCCAGGCCTCTGGTAGAGGACCCGAGCTTGAGGATGACACATACCCACTCCACGAGGGGTGAGAAAACGGTTGGGTGTATATATATATATATATATATATATATATATATATATATATATATATATATATATATATATATATATATATATATATATATATATATATATATATATATATAATTATAATTATAATGTCGGCTATTGGAGCACAAAGAAGATCTCTGCTGCAGAGGGAAGAAAACAGACCGACCCGCAGTCAGAACCTAAATAACCACCATCAGAGCTCATGGAGGGGAACTCTGACACCTCAGAGTCGGTTTGACCTGAATCTAAGTTGCTCTGTCTAAACATCAGGCTGGTTCTGACCAACCAGCTACAGGAAGCTGTGGTGGTTTACCTCTGATGATGCTTCCTAACACAGAGCATGCTCAGTCTGCAGGATATTGATTATTAGCTGAGATCACATCAACTCTTCTCTAAACTCTCCTGACTAAATGGTTTTTTGTTCACTATAGTAAAGCTGCTGCTTTTATAATGGGTGGAAATGATGAAGGTGTAGTAATACAGTTTGACCACCAGGTGGTGAATGAAAGTCCAGCAGAGTTCCTTGAAATGCAACAAACATGAATGCAGGAAACAGACGAATGCCGTGACTTTAATGAATTTCTTATTCATCACTAAGTTTATAATGTTAGCAAGGAGTTTTTATTCAAAGGCCTAAATTATGAGGATTTAGTTTCAATCTGATCCTGAACTTTGAAACCATTCCAGAATGAGCCAGAGCTCCTAAAGAGTTACCTCTGCTGTGTTCGAGCTCCTGGGGATTAAATCCAGCTTCTGAAATTAACAAAGACAGGAAGAACATTTAGTCTTTGGGAGGTTCAGTCCTTTCAGCAGGTTGGATATTGTTGCTTCATGTTGGAATTAATCTGTAGAAGATTAGCAGACAATAAACTCAGAACAGAAACTGTTGGAGTTCAGTGGAAAGAACCGATTAAAGAACGTTTCTCTGAATTTCATCACAGAAAGTGAAGCTTCAATGACTCCAATAATTTGTCTCACTGACCTTCAGGCTTCCTCTGGATACATCGGCTCACCAGGAAAACCAGGAAGAAGAACAGAACCAAAGCAGAACCACAGGAGAGAAACAGGATGAGGACGGGAGGACACTGGAGGTAGGTGGTGAAGGAGCAGGTAGGTGGAGGAGTGAGGGATGGAGGAGGAGGTGGAGGCGAGGATGTAGGCGGAGGAGGAGCAGTGGTTGGTTTCCCTAAAATGATCCAAAGGTAATTATTTAGTTCTTGTCTCATAATGAAGGTTAAAGCAGAGAGAGAAGCTGCTGACCTTCAACAGAGATCCAGCTGGACGGAGACTCTCCATGACCCCTGATGTTACACCTGTAGAGGCCTTCATCAGAGCTGGTCACATGGTGGAGGGTCATGTGACCTTTGGGCTCAGTCCTGATGAGGGAGCCATCTTTATAGAAAGCAGCTGGGAGGTTGGAGGGAATGGTCTTTGTTAGACAGCTCAGAGTGACGTCATCTCCCTCCATCACAGGGAGGACAGGACTCTGCAGGATCACTGATCCACCTCAACACAGAGACAAACTACAGCATTTCATCCATTTCCACACAGCTTCATCAACACTAACTCCACAGTCTGATCTTACCAGTGACAGTGAGCTGGATGCTGCTGCTGGCTGCTCCCTCTCTGGACGAACACCAGTAAACTCCACTGTCTGATGGGATCAAGGAGGCGATCTTACAGGTAGAACCAACCTGTTCCCCCATCCATCTCCACACTGAGTCCTGGTTCCTCTGGTTGTGTTCCTCCATACAGTCCATCCAGCAGAGCTGTTGTTCTCCTCACAGCTCAGAGACACAGAGTCTCTGATGAAGAACTGAGATCTGCTTTGACTCACAGTCAGAGCAGCTGCTGGAATGACAAACTTTTGTATTAATTGATTAATACAAATTCAGTTTCTATAACATTGACATTTATCTGATCCAAAGTTTTGCAGAGATGCAGTGTTTGTGCTAACTGTGAATATTAAGGTGTTAAACAGGAAGTGAACCAACCTTGGTTTGTTGTGCAGCTCAGCACCGAGGTCAGAACTAAAAAGGAAAAAAAAATAACTTTGAACTAAAAACTTCATCATTTCTCACATAAAGACAGTTTTACACCTCAGATAGTTTCCATTCAGACCGTTACTCTAAATGTTGTTCCAGCAGGTAGTAAATAGCTCTCTGTCCCAAAGTTCTATTAATATTTTCCATGTTTCATCTGTTCTCTTCAGATTCCAGTAGAACTTCTCCTCAGTGTGTTTTAACCCAGTTCCAGGCTGTTTCCCAGCCTCTCCTCCATCATCAGTTATCTAAAGAAACCCAGGAAATGTTCAGAAAGAATCTCTACTTACTGAGCAGAAATCTGACAGATGTTTCCTTCATTGTGTCTCTCAGAGCTCTGATAGAGATGTTCAGAGGCTGAGAGTAAAACCTTCCTCTTCCTCTGTGGTTGAGGGGCTGCAGGAACATGAAGCAGCCAATGATGTAAAGACACGTATCTCCACCAACTGGGCCCTGGCTTTGGGTTAGCAGCATCACATAACTTCCTGTTTGGCTCTAGGTCATTTATTTTAACTTGTTTCTAACAACTGCTTCTGTTGTTAATCTCCTCATTAAGGAACCCTTCATAACATTTTTCTCATTAAAGCCAAAACATGTGTTAAAGAAAACATCAGAACTTTGGTTCCTGTTCTTCATCCAAAGATCTTTCTCAGTTCAAAGCTAGTGATGAAGAAGATGCCAGCTTTAAGGCGTAGGGGCGTTCTGTTCTGCAGACCTAACTCCACCTGTCGGTTGGCCTCCTAACAACAGGGGGTCATTAGTGGCGTTGTTATTCTGGCTCACTGAGAGAAACTGACTGAGGATCAGGCTAAATGCTGGACTGGATGTTGCTTAAAGCTGAAATCTGAGGTCTCATTTAAGCAGATCAGCTCCAAGCCAGTTTTCACTGCTGGATGATGGATCTCACATAGCTATTTATAATAAAAGCTCATCCAAAATCTAATCTCTGTCATTATGTCCTCCAGCAGCCTAAGCCTGTAGCAGCATAACTAGAGTGCTTAAGTGATGGTATGTGAGCAGCACACAGTTAGTCTGTCAAAGATAGGTTGGCACTGGAAGTAAAGGGCAAAACTTTTAGGTGTTCCCATTGACTCCACCTATTGGACTGAAAATATATTGCAATTTCTCAGACAATATACACTCACCGGCCACTTTGTTAGGTACCCCATGCTAGTAACGGGTTGGACCCCCTTTTGCCTTCAGAATTGCGTCAATACTTTGTGGCATAGATTCAACAAGGTGCTGGAAGCATTCCTCAGGGAGTTTGGTCCATATTGACATGATGGCATCATACAGTTGCCGCAGATTTGTCGGCCGCACATCCATGATGCCAATCTCCCGTTCCACCACATCCCAAAGATGCTCTATTGGATTGAGATCTGGTGACTGTGGAGGCCATTTGAGTACAGTGAACTCATTGTCATGTTCAAGAAACCAGTCTGAGATGATTCCAGCTTTATGACATGGCGCATTATCCTGCTGAAAGTAGCCATCAGAAGTTGGGTACATTGTGGTCATAAAGGGATGGACATGGTCAGCAACAATACTCAGGTAGGCTGTGGCGTTGCAACGATGCTCAATTGGTACCAAGGGGCCCAAAGAGTGCCAAGAAAATATTCCCCACACCATGACACCACCACCACCAGCCTGAACCGTTGATACAAGGCAGGATGGATCCATGCTTTCATGTTGTAGACGCCAAATTCTGACCCTACCATCCGAATGTCGCAGCAGAAATCGAGACTCATCAGACCAGGCAACGTTTTTCCAATCTTCTATTGTCCAATTTTGATGAGCTTGTGCAAATTGTAGCCTCAGTTTCCTGTTCTTAGGTGAAAGGAGTGGCACCCGGTGTGGTCTTCTGCTGCTGTAGCCCATCTGCCTCAAAGTTCCACGTACTGTGCGTTCAGAGATGCTCTTCTGCCCACCTTGGTTGTAACGGGTGGTTATTTGAGTCACTGTTGCCCTTCTATCAGCTCGAACCAGTCTGGCCATTCTCCTCTGACCTCTGGCATCAACAAGGCATTTCCGCCCACAGAACCGCCGCTCACTGGATGTTTTTTCTTTTTCGGACCATTCTCTGTAAACCCTAGAGATGGTTGTGCGTGAAAATCCCAGTAGATCAGCAGTTTCTGAAATACTCAGACCAGCCCTTCTGGCACCAATAATTATGCCACGTTCAAAGTCACTCAAATCACCTTTCTTCCCCATACTGATGCTCGGTTTGAATTTGCTCGGTTGCAGGAGATTGTCTTGACCATGTCTACATGCCTAAATGCACTGAGTTGCCGCCATGTGATTGGCTGCTTAGAAATTAAGTGTTAACGAGCAGTTGGACAGGTGTACCTAATAAAGTGGCCGGTGAGTGTAAATATACTGGTGTGAGGACTTAGTATACCTTTGAAGGTTTTAGGTATACATCAGTGTTGATGTGAGGGCTGCAGCAGCAAACTGGCTCTATAACACTGTGTTGATATTTAGTGGAGCTGCTAAATGATCTTTATCTGTTCTTAGCAGGGAGGAGCATCAGTTCATCTGGAGCAGAGCAGCTCTGATGTTCCTCAGAGAGAACAGGACTCTGGAGTTGTTCTCAGAAGCTCTCCTCTTGTTCATCTCCTCAGAGGTTGGTCTGGTTCTAAGTCTTAGTGGAGCAGAGCTGCAGATGATGAACTGGTTCCAAACATCTACAGATGTTTCCAGAAGGTCAGCTCAGCCTGGAGCTGCAGGAAAACCCAGCTGGAGCTGAGATGCTCCAGGATGAAAGACATGATGTAGTCAGACATCAGTGAGGACAAAAACAGGATTTTATTTTCAACCACAGTCAATATCTGAAGTTATATTTACAGCAGATTAGATCTGCATCAATAAAAAAAGTAAAATTGATCTTCAAGGTGTCATGGAGCAGCTGTGTCTCTGCTCCTGGTTGCTCTGCAGGTGATTTGTCCCTGATGGACGTCTCCTGTCCTCACTGCTGAGTAAACTACAGATGTTGACGTTTCTGCAAAAGAAAAGAGTCGATTAGAGCAGCTGCTGCAGCTGGAAGACTGTTCTTAGTCTGCAGGATCTCAGAGCAATGAAAGCTCAAACATGATCTGTGCTGCAGATCATGTTTGAGCTCTTTTCTAAACTCTCCTGACTAAATGGATTTTTGTTCACTATAGTAAAGCTGCTGCCTTTATAATGGGTGGAAATGATGAAGTAATACAGTTTGCTAAGCTATATTTAAAATGCAGCATATCCAATTTATTTCTGGATGGAATTGAAATTGTATGTGTAGGGATGCATGATATATCGATTTAGGCATTGGAAACGGTTGTTCTGGCACAGCAGAACCCCCCCCCCCCCCCCCCCCCCCCCCCCCCCCCCCAAAAAAAAATAAATAAATAAATAAATAAAACAATAATAATAACAGTCCTCCTTTTCAGAAACCCAAACCTGGTCACCCTAAATATAGTGTACCATTTCTAGGTTATTGTTAATTTGCATAGTTGCTTTAAAACAAACACATTTTCAGAAATTAAATAATTTTTATATATTAAGGAATATAAAGCTGACTAATAGCTTCTCCTTTATTAAACTGATACATTTTTATTTTTTTTGGATTGTGATACCTTATTTGACCATGCTAAACAGATTTGTCTTAACAAAGATTCAGTTGGGCAAGATTTATGTACAAAAATAAATCTGTACATGAAATTACGTTTTGTTTTTATAAAGTGTTTTTAAAATGTTTTTGTTGTTGCCAAGCTTGTGCTTTGTCCTTCAGTGTGTGCACACGCTCTTTTCTCTGCTCCCTGCTTGCTTGCACTTTCTGGTCCTTTTATCTTCTTTTTATCTCTTAACCAAAACTACAGAAAGTTGGATTTAGTTATTTGATTTACTATTATTTTATTTCTTTTCAAATATATTCTTTATTTTTTTCCCCGAAGTGGATATGGAGAAGAACCACCCGATTCAAAGGATGCCTACCTCCAGCACAGACGAACTTGAGAAGCTTCTACAGAAAATAGCTGTCATGGAGCTGAAAATCCACCAACTTGAAGTAAACTATGATGTAAACGCCGCGTATGGTAATGAAACAACGCTGCCTGTGATTCCGAACGGGGACCACCAGCCCAGCAACTCAGTGAACAAACAATTCCCAGAGGAAAATGAGAATCCCTGGACCACTCTGGCTGCTAGACCAAAGGATCAACGAACCCACCTAGACACAGAAAACTGGCCGAGACCACAGAGAGATGTCCCAAGAAAAGTGAAACAAAAACGGGATGTTCTCACAATAAATGATAGGAGTAAACCTGCTGGAAATATTGGAATTCCGTTACAAAACAGATTTGCTCCACTTCGAGATGAGACCCAGAAGGATCACGACAATCAAAGGTATGTCAACAATCTTCACTCTAAGCTACCAGAGAAAAAACAGGCCACAGGGCCAAGGACTCTGATATTATGCAGTGGATCTATACGTGGGATTAAACATTTCTGTAACAAGAAAAACACAGAGGGGCTGATTTATACCCCTTTGAACTATGGCCTGGTGTCTAATGTATCAGACATCCTTCCAGAGATCATGAAAAAACGCCCGACCTTGGAAAAACTCATCATACAAGCTGAAGCCTTTGGCGACGCAGGCCTGAGGAAATCTGAAATACTGAAAGAGGATTACATTCGTCTGCTGAATTTAGTTGATGGTCTTAATGTCAAGGTGTTTCTCAGCGGCCCTCACATGACCATTAATTGTGGAGATGAAATGTTTTCCAGAGTTCTGATGTTAAACAAATGGCTGGATGCAACATGCAAACAAACAACTGTAACGCTCATAGACAATTTTAACATCTTCTGGGAGCGGAGACATCTGTGGAGACATCTATTTAGGGAGATGGTTTCTCCCTAAATAGGTCAGGAGCGAAACATTATCAAACATTTTCTATTCTGTGAACCATGCACCATCAGCTTTGTTCCAAAACAAAGCTCAACCAGTGCATGAACAAACGATAAGCCCAGTAAAGCCCGAACAAGCCAAGATAAAGATGGCCAAAAAGATGACACAGAAAGAGCCTACATCAGAACTACAGGAGGATTCATCCCAGATCTCAGCAGGACAAAAAGAGGATTCCCCTTTACCGCCATCCCCACAGACACCAGTCCAGACTGCACCCAATTCCCCCTCTCCCCCACAAAGCCCAGATGTTCCTTTTCTGGAATTTTCTCATAACATGAACAAAGTTTTCAAGATTGGCCTACAGTTGACATCCTCTCCACATAGCCATTCTGAGAACCGCAGCTATGTGAAAAAAACAGCACCTTCTAAGAACAGCAGAGCCCCAGATCCTCCTCTACATATCACAGAACGTCAGGACCTTCAGATAACCTCTCTGTGATACACACCGGGCCCTGGCAACAAGCTTA